TTACCATAAATTACTAATGAGAAAAACCTATACAATAACATCACTCTAATCACAATCTTGAATTATCTCAGTACAATAACTTCCCTGCTTTTCCCCCCACCATCTGTAAAATTTGTTCCAAATTTGGTAAAAAACCGTTTCATCCTGATTTTTAAGTCTTCTAGTTAACCTATCTAATTCTGCGCAATGCATAATTTTACGATTTTATGCATTTTGACTTGTGGGCAGATGACCCATTTCCTATTGTTTCTTCAGCAGCAAAACCTTGCAAAGGGGTTAAAAAAAATGTTGCCTGAGATGGCATAAATAGGGTAACGAAGGTGGAGGAGTATTCAAGAAGTAGCTGGGCGTGATGCCAAGCTGCCCGCTTCATAGCCGCAAGATTGTGTGCAGAACTGATTGAGATGAAGAGCAGGTCCAGCCAAAGTTTAACATCTGAAGCTACGATTGATCTTAAAAAGGGCACCTAATGATTGGAAGCAGGAGCTGTTTCATGGACAACGGTGTCTTTGAAAAGGCTTGCATTTTGCCGTGTTTATTTTAAGAACATCTGCTTTGAAGACATATTCCCAGCAACTCTGCAGACTATTTCAAAGCAAGCTTTGCCCAAGAGAAGGTGTGTTTGTTTGTTTTTAAAGAAAGTGTATTTTGAAGAAGGTGTTTTTGGATGAAGTGTGTCTCAAACATTTTTTTCTGTGAGCAAAGGCCCTAGCAATAACCTAATTTTTTAGAAATAATCCACTTTTTGTATCCAGCTATTAAAACCTGATATTGTAAGTTGTTTTTCCATACCATAATATTCCCAGCTGGAAACAGGAGCCACAGCTATTCCACACTTAAACATGCCAGTACCAGACCCAAGTGCCAGCGATGTAATATATCCACCGTAGGACTAGAAAGAAACAAGAGAGAAGTTAATATGTGAGAAGGCAAGTATTTGCTCTCTAAGAATCCAAGTAATAAAACACTGAAGCCAAGGGGAACATTTGTTTTGGCATCCAAGAATACAGACTACTCAACAGTTTCTCCTGAATAATTTTCTATGAGCCACTGGAACAAATGGGACTTCCAAATATTTCCCTTCTAAAAAGTACCTCTCTTTAATTCCTCTAGGACAGGGGTTTCAAACTTGCAACATCATGTGATGTGTCGCGACGTATCGCGACTTTTTTTCCATTGCTGGCAATGGGGTGGGCGTGGTTTCGGCATAACGCATCCGGCCCACGGGCCGTCAGTTTGACACCCCTGCTCTAGGAGCCTAAAATGATGCACCTAAGGCTCTCGTCTTATTTTAACCTCATAACAAGCTTGGGAGATAGATTGGGCTGAGAGTTTGTAGTTGATCCAAATCAGCCAGATAAGTTCCATAATTGAGTGGGAACCTGAAACCTGCATTTTTCCTTCTGCAATGACAGAAAGAACGAAGGAACTATGATTAGGTTCTTACATCGCATTAAGCCATACTATGATTTGGGGTTGGCTTTGCATGTTATATATACCCAGCCATTATGGTTTGTGAGCCATGGTTTATTACTCAGTTGTATATGTGAACCCATCCAATTGTGGTTTCATTTCAACAAACCACGCTTAATAAGGTGGCTTAACATGATATATGAACCTAGCCAATGTTTATTGCAGGTTCAGTTTCAGAAGCTGAAAGAAATGCTGTTGTGACACAGTTGTGCTTTTAGCTGAAGACTAACAACCAATTACATCAGAGATGATCTGTGACGAAGTTTCTCAATTTTTCATGTCTTTTTCCTAAAAAAGAGAAAATAGCTCTTCTCAGTAATTCTTCATGCCTCTTTGCAGATTGGCATACATCATTTACCTGTATGAGGGAGACTAAGGAATGTACTAGTATTAGGAAAGTTGAAAATCTAAGGCAGTGATGGCGAACCTTTTAGAGACCGAGTGCCCAAACTGCAACCCCAAACCCACTTATGCATCGTCGAGTGCCGGGTGGGTGTGGCCCATTGGCTGGGCGTGGCCGCGGTGGTAATGGCAGACTGGGTGGGACTAAAAAGTTTAATCAATCAATTTCAACTTTGCAAGATCTTTTTTTTTCCCCGCGAGAAGTTGAAATTGACTGATTGAACCTTTTTTCTTTTTTGCACACGGCGGCGGAGGCCTAAAGCGAAAAGGTTTTATAAAATCCAGCTGAAGGCCTAGGAATGGGGCGACGGTGCGCGTGCCCACAGAGAGGGCTCTGAGTGCCACCTCTGGCACCCGTGCCATAGGTTCGCCACCACTGATCTAAGGTATACTGTCATTCAAGAATCTGAACTACATTGTGCGGAGATAAAGAAAACATTATGTAATATATCAGCATTATCAAGAGACTGTGGTCCTTACAAAGTAAAGCCAGCAACAAAGAAAAAAATTCACTGAGATACTTCGTAGTCGGAAGGAGAGAAAAAAAAAATCAGGAACGGCTTTCTCACAGAGTAGAGGAAGTCTGAGCAACAGAGTTAGCATGCCATTAAAGGGCAGCAAATTATTATTTACTTTGTTTGTTATTAAAGTACTGTGGTAGGACAAGAGAGGTGATTATGGGATTTGATATATTAAAATAACATGGCATTGTTATTGACAGTGTGATGGGCTAGAGGGCTCACCTTTTACTGAACTGTCTCAAGATAGGAACATGTGCAAAGGAAAAAGAAGCAAACCAGAGAAATGGGGTTACTCAGAAATGGCTGCCCAGGGTTTCCCTGTGTTAAGATGGGTAGCCAATAAATTTAATAATAAAATATTAAAATAAAATATACACACAAAGGGTATGGACTTTTATTCTGTGGTCTGCTCACAGAAGATGCCAAGCAGTGGTGGGATTCAAATATATGAAAAACCGGTTGTCTGTGTAGATGCCACTTCTGGAAGTCCATTCTGGGCCTGGGCAACAAAAAATTAGCTACCAGTTCTACCGAACTGGTGTGAACCGGCTGAATCCCACCACTGATGCCAAGTCCTAATATCTTTAGTTTGAATTCAACAGGTTGTGTGGGATTTATGACATAGTAAGTTGTGAAAACCTAGGGCAGTGATGGAGAACATTTTAGAGACCGAGTGCCAAAATTGCAACACCAAAAACTGCTTATTTAACATAGGATGCAAGCTGGTAATGGCCCACTGTGTGGGTGTGGCCAATTGGATGGGCCTGGTCACACGCGTGCCATAGGTTCGCCAGAACAGACTTAGGGTTAGGGTTACGTCACCAAGAACTCGAAGAACAAAATGGAAATTGCCAAAAAATTCGGAGTGCTTGGGTATAGTTAGGAGGACACTGACTTTTCTAGGCTGCCCTATCTATGTTTCATGGTAAAATACATGGGAAAACCCCATTGGAGGAAAATTCCACTTAGGGTTAAGGTTAGGTCAACATGAACTCAAAGAGCAAAATAGACATCGCCAACAAACCCGGAGTGCTTGGGTATGATTAGGAGGGCACAGACTTTTCTAGCCTGCCCTATCTATGTTTTCTGATAAAATACATGGGAAATTCCCATAGGGGGAAAATTCCACTTAGGGTTAGGGTTAGGTAAACATGAACTCATAGAGCAAAATGGACATCACAAGAAACTCGGAGTGCTTGGGTATGGTTAGGAGGGCACTACCTTTTCTAGCCTGCCCTATCTATGTTTCCTGGTAAAATACATGAGAAAATCCCATAGGGGGAAAAATCCACTTAGGGTTAGAGTTAGGTCACCATGAACAGTAAAATGAACATCACCAAGAAATTCGGAATGCTTGGGTATGGTTAGGAGGGCACTGGCTTTTCTAGCCTGCCCTATCTATGTTTCCTGGTAAAATAAATGGTAAAATCCCATAGGGGAAAATTCCACTTAGGGTTAGGGTTAAGTCACCATGAACTCATAGAGCAAAATGGACATCGCCAATAAACACGGAGTGCTTGGGTATGGTAAGTTGGGCACTGACTTTTCTAGCCTGTCCTATCTATGTTTCCGGGTAAAATACGTGGGAAAATCCCATAGGGGGAAAATTCCACTTAGGGTTAGGGTTAAGTCACCATGAACTCATAGAGCAAAATGGACATCACCAATAAACACGGAATGCTTGGATATGGTTAGTTGGGCACTGACTTTTCTAGCCTGTCCTATCTATGTTTCCTGGTAAAATACATGGGAAAATCCCATAGGGGAAAATTCCACTTAGGGTTAGGGTTAGGTCAATATGAACCCATAGAGCAAAATGGACATCACCAACAAACTCGGAGTGCTTGGGTATGGTTAGGAGGACACTGACCTTTCTAGCCTGCCCTATTTATGTTTCCCGGTAAAATACATGGGAAAATCCCATAAGGGGAAAATTCCACTGAGGGTTAGGGTTTGGTCACCATGAACTCATAGAGCAAAATGGACATCGCCAACAAATTCGGAGTGCTTGGGTATGGTTAGGAAGGTACTGACATTTTTACCCTGCCCTATCTATATTTCCTGGTAAAATAAATGGGAAAATCCAATAAGGGAAAATTCCACTTAGAGTTAGGGTTAAGTCACCATGAACTCATAGAGCAAAATGGAAATCGCCAATAAACACGGAGTGCTTGGGTATGGTTAGTTGGGCACTGACTTTTCTAGCCTGTCCTATCTATGTTTCCGGGGAAAATACATGGGAAAATCCCATAGGGGAAAATTCCACTTAGGGTTAGGGTTAGGTCAACATGAACCCATAGAGCAAAATGGACATCACCAACAAACTCGGAGTGCTTGGGTATGGTTATGAGGACACTGACCTTTCTAGCCTTCCCTATTTATGTTTCCTGGTAAAATACATGGGAAAATCCCATAGGGGGTAAAATTCCACTTAGGGTTAGGGTTAGGTCAACATGAACTCATAGAGCAAAATGGACATCGCCAATAAACACGGAGTGCTTGGGTATGGATAGTTGGGCACTGACTTTTCTAGCCTGCCCTATCTATGTTTCCGGGTAAAATACATGGGAAAATCCCATAGGGGTAAAATTCCACTTGGGTTAGGGTTAGGTCAACATGAACTCATAGAGCAAAATGGACATTGCCAAGAAACTCAGAGTGCTTGGGTATGGTTAGGAGGGCACTGACTTTTCTAGCCTGCCCTATCTATGTTTCCTGGTAAAATACATGGGAAAATCCGATAGGGGGAAAATTCCACTTAGGGTTAGGGTTAAATCACCATGAACTCATAGAGCAAAATGGACATCACCAACAAACTCGGAGTGCTTGGATATGGTTAGGAGGGCACTGACTTTTCCAGCCTGCCCTACCTATGTTTCCTGGTAAAATAAATGGGAAAATCCCATAGGGGGAAAATTCCACTTAGGGTTAGGGTTAAGTCACGTTGAACTAATAGAGCAAAATGGACATCGCCAATAAACACGGAGTGCTTGGGTATGGATAGTTGGGCACTGACTTTTCTAGCCTGTCCTATCTATGTTTCCTGGTAAAATACATGGGAAAATCCCATAGGGGAAAATTCCACTTAGGGTTAGAGTTAGGTCAATATGAACCCATAGAGCAAAATGGACATCACCAACAAACTCGGAGTGCTTGGGTATGGTTAGGAGGACACTGACCTTTCTAGCCTGCCCTATTTATGTTTCCCGGTAAAATACATGGGAAAAACCCATAAGGGGAAAATTCCACTGAGGGTTAGGGTTTGGTCACCATGAACTCATAGAGCAAAATGGACATCGCCAACAAATTCGGAGTGCTTGGGTATGGTTAGGAAGGTATTGACATTTCTACCCTGCCCTATGTTTATTTCCTGGTAAAATAAATGGGAAAATCCCATAGTGGAAAATTCCACTTAGGGTTAGGGTTAAGTCACCATGAACTCATAGAGCAAAATGGACATCGCCAATAAACACGGAGTGCTTGAGTATGGTTAGTT